CTGTCAGGTTCATGAGTGTAGATTGTGTGGTCAGAATATCTGTCAGGTTCATGAGTGTAGATTGTGTGGTCAGAATATCTGTCAGATTCATGAGTGTAGATTGTGTGGTCAGAATATCTGTCAGGTTCATGAGTGTAGATTGTGTGGTCAGAATAGCTGTTAGGCACACGAGTGTAGATTCTGTGGTCAGAATAGCTGTTAGGCTCATGAGTGTAGATTGTGTGGTCAGAATAGCTGTTGTGTTCATAAGTGTACAAAGACTTGTCAGAATAGCTGTTACGTTCATGAGTGTATCATTGTGTGGTCAGAATAGCCCTTGGCTTCATGGTGAATTATTGAGTGGTCAGAATAGCTATTAGGTTCACGAGAAAACATGTGGTCAGAATAGCTGTTAGGTTCATAAGTGTATCATTGAGTTGTCAGAATAGCTGTTAGGTTCACAAATAAACGTGTAGTCAGAATAGCTGTTATGTTCTTGAGTGTATCATTGTGTGGTAAGAATAGCTGTTATGTTATTGAGTGTATCATTGTTTGGTCAGAGTAGCCCTTGGCTTCATGGTGAATTATTGAGTGGTCAGAATAGCTATTAGGTTCACGAGAAAACATGTGGTCAGAATAGCTGTTAGGTTCATAAGTGTATCATTGAGTTGTCAGAATAGCTGTTAGGTTCACAAATAAACGTGTAGTCAGAATAGCTGTTATGTTCTTGAGTGTATCATTGTGTGGTAAGAATAGCTGTTATGTTATTGAGTGTATCATTGTTTGGTCAGAGTAGCCCTTGGCTTCATGGTGTATCATTGAGTGGTCAGAATAGCGGTTAGGTTCACGAGTTAACATGTGGTCAGAATAGCTGTTTGGTTGATAAGTGTATCATTGTGTGGTTAGAATAGCTGTTAGATTAATGAGTGTTAGTTGACATCTTAAAAGAATCTGGGCTTTTTCGAACTTGGTTCTCTGTTAATTTTTTTTTTCGAAATCTTATTTGATCCTAATCTCTGCGGCCGTCTTGTCTTCACTGGATTGTTTAGATCGCGGATATTTCGTATTCCAAGATGGTGGATGTGGGTGTTTGTTTTCTGAAACCAGAGGTGTCCGAAAAATAAAATTTAACCGCTGATAAACAATATAAACACAAGACTACCCGTTCAAGATATATCTTACAACTATATTAATCCTTGATTCCCAATAAACATTTTTTTTCATTCCAAAATCTAATAAAAAAGCTGAAAAAAAATAAGCACAGAGCACATTATAAGTAGTTGACCTTCATGATGGCATGTAGTGCTGAGAAGTATAGGCACTGGTGTAGGAAAGGGAGGGCGGGGGAGGGGCGGGATGTTAACCCGAGGTGGCTCTTTTTTCGTTATATGGAGTCGTGGACTTTTTGGCCAACTGCAGAGATTCTTTTGTGGAAGGGGCGGCAATATTCTTTTTCCGCCCCTCACCGCTGTATACCTCCATATTTACTGTCCGAGTTTCACACACGCTCACTTTTTTGTTAACACAGATTTTGACCGTTTTTTAATAGGCTACCAACAAATGTTCCATTGGTAGAAAAATTAGTTTATCATATTTACATGCCTACATTTAGACATACAATGTTCTCCTATCCTCTTGGAGGCATTTTGTGCGGCACACATGGTATCATCTCCAGGCACTGTGTCGTGGGAAATCTGAGACGGAGCTATGACATATATTACGGTAGTGGCTTTACTAAATTGATAAAACTCTATGAATCGAAAGGGTTCACGTGATAATAAAATGACAGCAATAATCGTTATGCGATGGGGTTAGGGTAGCATGAAAACCATTTGAGAGTACTTGACGATGTAACAACACCTACAGAAATTGATGACGTTTCATTAAAATAAATTTTGAACAATGTGAACAGTTAAAAATTTCATTCATAATTATTGAAATATATTTCATTGCAGCAAGAGAAAGACAAAGACAAAATGCAGTAACAAAAACAAGGAAATTGTTATTCATACACTTTAATTAGTCGCAACGAAATGAAACATGTTAAATTCTAATGTGTGCCTTGAATTTGCAATTCGCATAAAAAGGGGAAAACGGAATAGACACCAAAGAAGATAGCATTGATGTTTTTGATAGTTTTTCACTTCTGAACGTCATAGCTATTTCGTTTTTCAAGGTCACAATTACAACTGTTGCGAGTTTTTTTTTATTTAATTGCCAATTTTACGCCGTATGCGTAGATTAGTGCGAAAGAAATATGTTTGAAAGAGATTTTCCTTTAAGGTTTTTCGATGGGAAGTTTGTTTGGAATTGATACCGTATACATTTCCAGTAAGCACGTGAAGCTCCAGACTATTTGCTCTGTTCACCATAAACCGACCTACTTTACAACATCCACCCAGAACTGAACAGTCAGTGTATCGTTTTGAACATACTTTCTCACTAAACTGGCATTGAAGTAATGTAAGAACACCAACTGTGACATACCAGTTGACTGGGTAGGCTTCCCTAAATATTTTCTTTTCGTTATCAGAATGGGAGATTTTCCTGGAATTTCAACGTTTTCCAAGAAAAACCCCACCCTACAGGTTACTGGCCAGGACTTGGCGTTCACCTGCGTGTCAGTCACTGACGCTATCATAAACTGGACCATGTCGTCTCGGAATCGGGCGGTCAGTAGAAACGTGTAGTTATCAACGGAAATACTGCACACACAGTTGTCATTGTTGGTGCCCAATTTGCTGACCCCGTCCATGACCCAGACATTTCTGGATGGCATATGTTTGGGACTTTCCGAATTATCGTTTTGTGTAGCTGTTTTCATCGCACCGTTTTCAAGAGTTTTCTTCGGTGTCATGCAACTAAGTTGACCCGCTTCACCGTGCTCAGCCGAAACGCCTCTTCCTGTTTTCAAGTTAGTCTCGGCTTCCGACAGCTGTACACAATCCCGAGTCTTCAGTTCTTGAGTCGACGCAATATCTAGAAGAAGGGAGACATCTTCCCTCATGGTTTTCCGAAACGCCCTAATGACATCTAGAGTGCCCCTGTAATTCTTTTGAATTAATTCCTTGACGTCGCCCACTGCGATGAGGACGGCATCATTCCCAAGCCCGCTCATCTCAGATGGCAGCAAAGTCTGGAACTGCTCACTCACAGCAACGGCGGCCTTTTCCGTGATATCCGTCACCGAGCTACGCGTAGCTTTGGAGAGCAGTGTGAGCTCCGCAACAGCTTTGGTTATCTCTATAGGCATGTCGAACATTTTCATTTCAACAGCTGCGGTCAGGGGCGAGAGCTTATCGAGTAAGAGTTTATTGATCTGATAGTATTGATTTGTTGCGAAGATTTGAAAGAATGTAGAGAATGTTTTCTCAACGGTTCTAATACTGTATTCCGTGAAATAAGTGTGAGTCTCGCGTATCTCTTCGACAGATTTACTTTGATAGGCTTCAATGAGATTACACATAGTCTCCTGAAGCTTCTTCCCTTCGTCTTCGACGTGACTTTTTATGCTCTCCACCACGATATTATGACGGTTCTCAATACATTTTTCAAGGCTGAGGATCTTTTCCGAAATTTCCTGCGATTGTTTCTTCTGCTGAGAGACAATGACCTCGACTTCGCGTTGAATGTGCAAGGTCTGCTGGTGAAGTTTCTGCTGGTGGTGTTGTTGCTGTTGAAGTAGGTCGACTGTGTCCTGTAGTTTTTTCTGTGACGCCTGAATTCGTGCAAGCTGCTGCTGAAACTGATTCAACATTTGAGACAGTTCCGTTGGACTGTCTGGTTGCATTTTGACAGAATCACTGGTGTCAGGCTTGATATTATCTGAAGCAAAAAAGGTTAAGCTTTTTTTTATTAAAACAAGGAAATGTTTATGTCATTGGGGAAAAGAAAAGGAGAGAAGTCAGCATCGTATGCACAAAACGCAATGTATATGAAATCTTTGTTTAGCATACATGTGAAATTTTTGTTTAGCATACATGTGAAATTTTTGTTTTGCAATGTATGTGAACTCTTTGTTTAGCAATATAAGCGAAATATTTGTTTTGCAATATATGTGAAATCTTTGTTTTGCAATGTATGTGAAATCTTTGTTTAGCAATATATGTGAAATCTTTGTTTTGCAATGTATTTGAAAGCTTTGATTTGCAATTTATGTGAAAGCTTTCTTTGTAATGTAGACTCAGTTTCTTAAATAAAAATGATAAAATGGCTCGTGTAAACGTATTAGCTATCGGCAAAATTGAATTTGGAATCTAAAGTGATGAGGGGGCCATGGACCCCATCCTTCATCCATCAGTGCTTAATACATTTAACATTGAAAATAGTTGTAAAAAAATGGATTTCTATTCAAGGTATTACCCGGCTCGACGGTCGTGTCCCCTATCTCAGCACCAGTTTTTGAAGCTTGTATCTTGAGCTCAATCTCTCTGTTCCAAACCACTAGAAACTGCTCACTCGTAAGCCCGAGAGCCGTTGCTTCTTTCAGTGACCTTAAGAACTCCATGATCGCCTTCTGTTGTTATTTAGTTGTGTGGTCTGAAATGACGAAAAAAGCTTAAACACTATTTTCAAAATCAGATGTGACTGTTTTCTGGTCGACATTAGGATAAAGCCATTCATTCAATAATAAGTCTGTTCCGAACTGTGAAATTTCACGCGACCATTAGGGCATGACTACAGACAAGCAGGGCCTGACTACAGACAAACAGGGCCTGACTACAGACAAGCAGGGCCTGACAACAGACAAGCAGGGCCTGGCTACAGACAAGCAGGGCCTGGCTACAGACAAGCATAGCCTGACTACAGACAAACAGGGCCTAACTACAGACAAGCAGGGCCTGACCACAGATATGCAAGACCTGACCACAGACAAGCAGGGCCTGACAACAGACAATGAGGGCCTGACTACAGACAAGCAGGGTCCTACCAGAGACAAGCAGGACCTAACTACAGACAAGCAGGGCCCGACCATAGATATGCAGGGCCTGATCACAGATATGCAGGGCCTGACTACTGTCAGCTTACAGATAGATGTCCGATGAGCTAGCTGTTGAAAAGTTAAGAGATGACATTTGTTTGTGGACATTGTATCTGACGTCAGAACATCTCGGAGCATTCATCAGAATATTGACGTATTTTGAAATTTTTTTCCCCTAGTATTTTTTTTTCTAAAATTTTCATAAATAATTTAAATTCATATGTTTTCTTTCCATATTTAAGAATCGCTATGGCGTTGACTTAATTCAATATGTAACATACCTTGTGGTTGACAACATCCGTTGACTTTTCAGATTTTAAATTCCCGTGACAAGACCACCAAAAGCCACAGGTAAAAAAAACAGCAACAACAGTTAATAACTAATTAAAGGGCGATGCTCAGTAATTCCGTTCCGTGGCTGCACGTATGTTTTCTCTGAAATGTTAGTTGAAAATAGCGAGATGAGACTCGTCCGTTCTCTTTGAACACCTTTGAAGACGGGAAACATTTATCGAACTTCTTTCCGTGCTCAATCAGGTTACCCATGCAGGCATGTTGTGGGGGCTGCCGTTGAAATGATTATTTTTAGAAACGTCTGCTGAAAGGTCAAATTCTACAGCCAATCATGTATCGAATTTCGATTTAAACAGGCAAATACACAAAACCACAAGGCCAAAGAAAGAGAAATAAGAAGAAGATCATTCCAAGAAGAGGTTTTATCTTTAAGAGGATTGTGACGTAACAGGGGCGTCATTCAAACATTAGTCGGCTTGTTAAGTTGTTTATTACTAGAGGCCTCAAAGTATATAGCAATGTAAATAAAAAATCTGCAAATTCGAAGGGGGGGGGAGGCAAATGTCCCACCCTGTCCCTACCCAAATGACATCCCTGTGACGAAAGGTTACATATTTAATTATTTGAAGCTCATTTAAAAGGCAGCTGCTGATTTAAGGGATTTCTGGAATATATTTAACAGCGTAAATAATGCCTGAGTGGTGTATTGTATGTACGAGCTGGTCAGGATACGCCCTGGTGTGTATGGCTCTACAGCTGGCATGGACAACTTAAAATGTAAGACGGGCCGTAATACTTTATGAAAAACATGTGCGGGCCGAAAGAAAAATAGGACAGGGGTTTGGGGGGGGGGAGCGATTAAGAAAATAATAATAAGAAAGATTATTTTATTACTTCGTAAAACATGTGCGGGCCGAAAGAAAAATAGGACAGGGGTTTGGGGGGGGGGGGAGCCATTAAGAAAATAATAATAATAAAGATTATTTTATTACTTCGCGGGCCGCAAATTAGGTGCTGGCGGGCCGCATATTGCCCGCGGCCGTATGTTGCGCCGCCCTGCATAACAAGTATGTGGTTACACATGGGACGGCCTTTTGTATATGGCGTGTGTGTAAGGTGACCAACTTTCTTTTAATTATCTTAAACCTCGTATTCATTGTAACGCCATTTGTGCCTAAAAAAGAAAGCAATTATATACAGTCGCAGAGAGAATATATCTATCTCTGAGGCATTCTTTTCAACGAAAATATTATATCACGATGCCAATTTGGGGGGAGTTATATATTTTAAATCCCTGTATATCAGATATAATAGAGTTTTTATAAAAAACAATTTTTTTTTGTACATTAAAATGTACGTGTTAAAAGGCATAACCTGCTAGGAGTCTGGTTCAAAAGTCAGTACTGTTCAAATGGTTGCCTTACTTTAATTCATTGAGTCGTATTCGTGAATTGATTGAAGTGAATAGTGTATGGTCCGATGCAGAGGCTGAACAAATTGCGGTTATGCCCATTTCATCAGTTTAGGCGTAGTTTCGGCCGACACAGAAAAGTTAACTTTCAGTTGATTTTCGGCTTCGGCCGAAAGTGATTGGGCTTTCGGCCGTCTTCCAGAAGTCTGTATTTCTGTCGGCTGACAACGCGATATTCATAAGTGCTCGATCTCTTGCTGTCATGTTATGATATATGACTTATCCTCCGCGAACACTGCTAACAGCTGCATTATGACCTATTTGTTAAAATATTTGGCTTGAATGTCTGGCATCCGGGATGAGGCGCGATGGAATGTCTCACAGCAGGGGTGGGGGTGTCATGGATTGTCTCACAGCCGGGGTGGGAGTGTCATGGATGGTCTCATATTTTTGAAACACCAGAGGTGTTACCTTAGGCATTTATTGACGACCATTCACCCGGGAGAAGTGAGTAGTTCTGTAAGGTGGCAGGATAGTCATGGATGTTAGTGGATGATCGTGGATGGTTGTTTGAAGTGGATGGTGGCGGATGATAGGGAATGGTAATGGGTGGTAGCGGATGTTAGTGGATGGCAGTGGGTGTTTCAATCGAAGATGGTAAAGGCATTCACGGTAATGGTGCTGTTGATTTTCGTTAAGATATTTAGATACGGGTATTAAAGTATAAACGCTGCCAAATTACGACAGGCGTCTCATTACATCAGAGACATCAGTCAGCATGCAAACCTATAGTGCTCTCATATGCGACCCAATATTGTATATGTTGTGTCTTCATTGTTCCTGTCTGCTGAAGAACGCTCTTAGCCGAAAAGTGGCATGCTTTTTGGGGGGGGGGGGGGGGGGGGGGGGGGGGGGTCCTGTATTTATATTTCAAGCTGTCACATACCTTGGTCCTCTATTTCCTTCACCACCTTGAACACAGCCCTTCAGCAGTGACTGTGGCTCAATTGAATACGTGGGTATGTCGTGATATTACACTCACTTTTAGTGCAAAGCCATGCGTCTATCAGTCACGTGTGCTTAGTGCGCTAATATATGGCAGTGAAGTGTGGACCACATATGCCAGTCATAATTGCTTAGTGTGCTACTATATAACAGTGAAGTGTGGACCACATATGCCAGTCATGATTGCTTAGTGCGCTAATATATGGCAGTGAAGTGTGGACCACATATGCCAGTCATGATTGCTTAGTGTGCTACTATATAACAGTGAAGTGTGGACCACATATGCCAGTCATGATTGCTTAGTGCGCTACTATATGGCAGTGAAGTGTGGACCACATATGCCAGTCATGATTGCTTAGTGCGCTACTATATGGCAGTGAAGTGTGGACCACATATGCCAGTAATGATTGCTTAGTGCGCTACTATATGGCAGTGAAGTGTGGACCACATATGCCAGTCATGATTGCTTAGTGCGCTACTATATGGCAGTGAAGTGTGGACCACATATGCCAGTCATGATTGCTTAGTGGGCTACTATATGGCAGTGAAGTGTGGACCACATATGCCAGTCATGATTGCTTAGTGCGCTACTATATGGCAGTGAAGTGTGGACCACATATGCCCGTCATGAGCGGAAGCTCAAAAGCTTCTATCAAAGATTCTGCGTCGAATTATACGCTTTTGGTGGCAGGACAAGGTGCCAAACACGGAGGTCTTGGAACGTGCACACATGTTGAGCATATTCTCCTCTCTTAGCAAGAGGTTTCTTCGATGGTTAGGCTATGTAAGGAGAAAGGAGGAACGCCGTATTCCAAAGTATCTGATCTATGGAGAGTTGACAGAAAGGGCAAGACTTATTGGACGGCCTTGGCTGCGATTCATGGACGTTTGCAGCAGGAGCATGTCAGAAGAAAACATTGAAATCAACGAATTGGAGATCATAGCTCAGTTCCAGCTGGCAAACAGCAGTTTATGAAAGAGTCAAAAAGCCAGAAGATGCGCGAAACGAAGCTCTTGCAACAACAAAAAAATAATAATAATATAAAAAAAAGAATAATATGGAAGTCCAAATCTAACCAAGAGTCAAGGTTCTTCTGTGAGAAATGAAGCCGAGACTATCATTTCAGGGTTGGCCTAGTGAGCCCTTTGGATGAAGTCTCCATAGCTAACCCATCGTCTCAAGAAGACAGAAGGATGCCATATAATATAGTAAGTAACCGTTATATTTAATAATAATAATAATAACATTTATTTGAGAAACACGCTTCATCCCCAAAGGCTCGAAGCGCGGTACAAAGTCAACCATATTAAAAGAGAAATGAAAACAATCTATATCATACCACATTGAAATACAAAACGCAGCATTACAAAAACTACATACGAGAATACCCATTCTAAGTCTTTCATCGCTTGCAAACCATAAACAACACAGGCCAATATACATCTTGGAGATAATAGCTAGCTGGAAAAGGTAGACAACATCACCCCAGCAGGTGTTTGCGAAATCGATGTGTTTTCAAATCGGTTCTTGAAAGACTCTAGTGTCTGGCTGTTTCTCAGAGCGACAGGAAGTGTGTTCTAAATTATTAGGCCAGCAAATGCGAAAGTGCCCTTTCCGTAAGTCTTAAGACGAACACGTGGTATCGAGTTTGCCACAATTGGATGAGGGGAGTTCTCTAGTGGGTACATAAGTTGTCATGAGCGCTTTGAGATAGGACGGTGCCAGGTCATGAGAGCAGCGGTAGCATAGATTTGCAAGTTTTTACTCCATGCGAGCGCGGACTTAGCATGTACTTTAAAATGTTCAATAATTTAAAAGAATGAAATGTAGGTCTATCCTTAGTTTGTGGGCTGTAAAAAAAATCTAATAAATAAAATAAAGACCAAACAAAGACTTTTAGAATTATTTATTTATAAGTCGCATAATAAAATGCAAAATACGAATAAAATACAACCAAAATATTGTGATAATTGCTGATCCTTTCTGGCACTTAAGTTTTTAAAAATATATGTTTCTGTATATTGAATGAAGAACTAATTATCTTTCTTACACAAACGGCATCCTGCTAGCCGCAAAATTTCACATGATGGGCCGAATGCCGCCCGCGGACCACAAACTGGACCACAAACTGGACCACAAACTGGACCACAAACTGACCATGTCTGGCTTAAAGGGCAGTGGCTCATTTGGAATAAACGAGTGTATTCATGTATCGTAAGTTTCTAAGCCTGGATTTACAGGTAGAGCACGTAACGGAGATCACAGTATTGCTGTCGAAGCACTTGATAAGCAGAGCAAACAGGTGATATCAATGTAAGCATAGCAAACAGGGGATATCAATGTAGGCGTAGCAAACAGGGGATATCAATGTAGGCGTAGCAAACAGGTGATACCAATGTAGGCATAGCAAACAGGTGATATCAGTGGAAGTCGATATTAAAAGGGCCCGTGTTATCCATGGGGTGCGAGTGATTAGAATCTTTATTTTATTTTGTTCGCGGTTGGGGGGGGGGTGGAGACAATATCGATTATTTTTGTTCCGCTATTGATCACGCATGGCCTATGCCAGTGTTTCTCAACTTTTTATTTTCCTTTTATGGGGGGGGGGGGGGCCTCTTTACAACTTTATTAAATTTCCCCATGGCTTTTTTTATTAAAAT